CGGATCCACATGGTCCTCCTACTTTCTGTCTCTCACCGTAAGTCCCAGCGTGCAGCTGCCCACGCTTCTGCAAGTGTGCAACGAAGACGGGCGATTGCCCAAAACGTCACCAGTTACGTTTTCTCATTTTAATGCCGCAATGAGTTAGTGACGAACGTGTCGAGTTTTATGGCATAGGGCGGGGGGAAGGGTGCGTTCACTGATTATTGTGTACGATTCAGTTCATAACCCTCTTTGCTAACTCATAAAGCTGCGAACCGCCTTGCCCCAGGCCACACCGCAGACACGCTGCTGCACCCACACGTGCCCTCAAGATGTCTAAGATCTGGGGGTGCAGATCTTCTCCGAGCTCCCAGGATATTGAGGCTTGGGTCGATGGGCGACCGAACTGTTCCCCGCCTGGCCCCCAGGCTGGATATCTGTGAAAAAGGCTGAATAAGCTCATCGGATATTTTGATTCCGATTCAGACTCTGGGACTCTCTCTCTCTCTCTGGCTTCCACGAGATCTCAGCATCTCGTTGAGTCGGTGTACATTCTAAAGCTCGTTTTAAAACGTATCGGTACATTTCTGTTCATTGAACGTTTAGCTCATTCAGAAAATGGCTTTTGGTGTTAATCATATTATTTGGCGTTTCTCAGGTTTCAGATTCATGATTTAGTGTCATGCTGAGTGTTTGTTTTTCTGTTGTGTCTTCGACATCACTTTGACATCCCTGATGAGAGGTGCTTTACAAATATAATTAGTATTATCATCATTATTATTCTCCTGCTCTTGTTCACCTTTGTATTTTATACGCTGGATCCCGATCCACCACACGTGGATTACATGACTTGGCTCCGTCTGTAGAGCAAAATGATCTGTGTGGAAAGAGCTTTTTAGTGTTTTACCCCTGGGCATTATCCAGGTATTCTGGTGGTGGTATGCACATCCTTCGACCATGCATGTACATGACGGAGATATTCAACATGACAGAGACATCTCAACAGTATACACGTGATGATGATGATGAAATGTGATCAGCTCATGTGCAGGAGTTATCTTGCCAAAGCGGAAATGTTGTCCCACGTGCCTCAATGGGTATATTCGTCGCCTGATTAAATAACGGACGCAACAACATTGTGACATCGTGGGACCAGAAAGAATGGAAAAACCACGGCTCATGATGATGATGATGGCGATCATGAACGGCCAAAAACAGGGGGTCCGGCAAACTAAAATAACAACAACAAGAAGAGGCATCATTTTCGAATTCGGTGACAAAAAACTCAATATTTCAAGAGCCGCAATGCAATACCAAATACGAGTAGGTGGTGGTCCTTAATAAATAACATCGTGAAGCAGTCCTTAAAGAGCCGCACGGGACTCCAGAGCCGCAGGTTGCCGACCCCTGGCCTACACGATACCCGTGTGGGAAGCAAGGTTAGTGCTCCACACGACAAAGTCTCCCTTCGGAAGTCAGCGACTGCGTTGTAAGAACTGTCTTGCAAACATTGACATTTCTCCGTTTACGGTTCAACATCAATTTAAACGCCGGTTACAACTGAGCTTAAGTGTCAAGTCAACAGCCGTAACGTGCACACAAGACAAAGATCCCCCGTATAGCCTTGACAAACTGTAGGGGCAAGTCCTGTTAGCGAGCACCTACGAAAGGCCGGCAATGGGAGTGTGTGGCCAGCACCACGCCCGGCCGCCTTTGTCTCCCCAGTGGTGATGATTACACATCGCACCAGGTACTCATTCGAGGTTGAGTCGACCTAGGAGAGGCCCAGGACCGGTTTAAATCATTGTCACCGGTGTTGGCCGTGAGCGGGAATCGAACTCGGATCGCTGGGTTCATAGCGGGGGGCGCTAGCCGCTACACTACCACCCCCCACAACAACAACAACCGCCATTCGCCACTAAGTGGCGGTGACGTCACCACGACGCTTGTGCCAGGCCATGTGCACCTTGAGGCCACGTGAAGTGTCGAACGCCCGCTGGCAGGTCACGGAGCAGACCCAGGTGCCACGGGTCGACTGACTGAGATGACCGAGATGACAGGCTGATGGACCACCTGTGCCCCCTACTGTGCCAACTTGCTGTGCTTTAGCCACCCCGCTCCCCACAAAGACAAAGATCCCCCGTATAGCCTTAACAGACTGTAGGGGCAAGTGCTGTTAACACACAGACACACAGACACGCACCGTCAAATTCCATAGAAGGGCTCAGAACCAGATAGAGTCGGGATAATCGTACAATGCAATCCACGCGTAATGTGGAACGTCTATAGTTTACTGAGCGTTCTTTACGCACGGGCCGAACCGAAACCCTGCACGGACATTATAGAGCGATGAAAGCCCGGACAACGCTCGTGTGATTTTTTTTGTTGGCGGCGAAGTATGATCAAAGAACCTCCCACGATCCGCGTGGCGTCGGCAATTTTCTCTTCCGTGCACGCGCGTACGCGCACAAGGGCTGGCAAAGATTGAAAACAAATGTGGCCAACAGAAACGTCGCCGCGTCCCCGTCCCGTGCGATGTTCTGTGCGTGTGGTCTCCCGTAATCCCGTTACCGCGGAATTGCCCACGAATCACTCCCGCCGGCGCTCCCGAGTCACTGGAAGAACATTCCACGTTGCTGTGACGGCGCCCGGCATGTCCACGACGCGACCACTGGTTGGCGCACAGCGTTGTACGTGTGATGTTGTGATGCGTCGGAATGTTGCACCCGGTTGTGTTGAACACGATCGTTAGTGTGCAGAAAGTTCGGTTGAAGCAGTCTGTGTTTGTAGAAAATACGTGCACTGCGTGACGCATGCCCTGAAAGTCATCGGGGTCCTTTGACCATATTTCACCACGCTGCTCAGTGTGGATTGGTGAAGGCTTCTGGGGGATGGGGGACGGGTGATGAGCAGGACAGGTGCAGATTTCACTCGTCACTGATGTTAGCCGTGGCCGGGCATCGGAACTTCAAACTTAGGTCGCGAAGCGCGGTATGCTAACCACTGCGCCACCACTCCCCGCGTTTGTACACGTGCCCGAGCTGGCGTGCGTTGTGTTTGGTATGTACACACGGGCACACCGAGGTCGAACAGCCCCGCTTTAACCCCTGCAAACCAGGCAGGGGGTTGGCAACCAAAATAACAAGAGACGGCATAATTTGTATTTATTCGGTAAACAAAAAAGCCTCAATATTTTAAGAGCCGCCCATTGCACTGTGTGTGGTCAACACGAGACTGCGTGAGTCCCGAATACACAACCGACACGATAGCACGAAGAAGAGGTTTGCCGACCCCTGGACGAGAGAAAGTCGGGCCAAGTGCTGTTAGCGAGCACCTATTACGATCGGTAACGCTTGTACCGCCAGGCTGTGCCGATGGCACGGGTGCACTTCAGGCCGAGACACGGCACAATAAGGAGTGGCCAGCACCACGCCCAATGAGTCAGACAGGTACTCACTCGCACTCGAGATAACACATTATTATACACCACCTTGAACAAGTATACACACTCAGCTGATGTGTTTATACACGCACACATCATATCCAGACCTGCCCCGTATACACGCCTGCCAGGTTTCACATAAAGGCCCCCACCCCCCCGTTTAGCCTGAGCATACTTTTCGAGCAAGTGCTGTGAGCGAGTACTGTCTTCATTAAATTCCAGACACACATTCACACGTAGGCAGGCATCGGCACACTTGACACGCAACATACAAAGATCCCCCGTATAGCCTTAACAGACTATTGGGGCAAGTGCTGTTAGCGAGCACCTATGAAGGCCGGCACGGCACACGAGGGGGTGGGTAGCCAACACCACGCCCGGCCGTCTTTGTCTCCCCCCAGTGGCGATGTTTACACATCGTACCAGGTATTCATTTGAGGCCGAGTCGACCTAGGAGAGGTCCAGGACCGGTTCAGATAACCGTCACTGATGGTGTTGGCCGTGAGCGGGAATCGAACTCGAGTCGCCAGGTTCGTAGCGCAGCGCGCTAACAACTACACTACCGCTCCACCCCCCCCACACACAGACAGACACACACAAGACATCGACACACACACACGCGCGTGTACGTGTGGCACGTGCACACGCGCACTCATTGTCACGCTGCGCAGCAGCACTACGATGAGAGGGACCAACACGTAAACGCACACAAATGCAAAGGTCACCCGCGTAGCCTACACAGGCTGCCGGGACAAGGGCAGTTTAACGAGTTCCTATAAAAGCCGGCACGGCAACGCCGCCTCTGCCGATGTTTACACACCGCGTCAGCTACTCGTTTTGAGGCTGAGTCGACCTAGGGGAGGCCCGGGACCGGTTCAGATAAATATTCGCCACTGAATTGGACTCGCGTAGCCGAGTTCGTAGCGCAGCGCATGAACCACTACGCCACACACACACGTGTCCACCACTTGCCACGTGTACACACAGCCACACACATGTCCACCGCTTGCCACGTGTACACACACACACACGTGTCTATCACGAGCCACGTGTACACACACACGTGTCCATGACTTGCCACGTGTACACAGATACACGTGTCCACCGCTTGCCACGTGTATACACAGACACGTGTCCACCGCTTGCCACGTGTACACACAGACACGTGTCCACCAATTGCCACGTGTACACACAGACACACACATGTCCATCGCTTGCCACGTGTACAGACACACACGTGTTCACTGCTTGCCACGTGTACACACACAGACACGTGTCGACCGCTTGCCACGTGTACACACAGACACACACGTGTCCACCACTTGCCACGTGTACACACACACACACGTGTTCACTGCTTGCCACGTGTACACACACAGACACGTGTCGCCCGCTTGCCACGTGTAAACACAGACACACACGTGTCCACGACTTGTCACGTGTACACACACGTTTCCACCATTCGCCACGTGTACACACACAGACACACACACGTGTCCACGACTTCCCACGTGCACACAGACACCCACGCACACACCGTGCCACTCACTCACTCTCTCACTCTCTCGCGTCTCACCTGACGCAGGCTGCGCAGCACGGCCATGGCTCTGTCCGCATCCCCGTCCCGCACCAGGGCGTGCATCTCCCGCACCAACGCCACGCGCCGCGAGTACGGAGCCGCCGGGCTGCCCGGAGCCCGCGATTCACCGCCGCCGCCTCCGCCGCCTCTCGACTCCCCGGTGCGGCCGAGCAGCAGCAGCTGGCTCAGTCCCGAGCCCTGATCGCGCCGATCTCGGAGGCGCCCCGACGACTCGGGGCTACCGCCACCGCCGGCAACACGACTTGCCTTGGCTGCCTTTCCGCCCATAGTCGGTGAAGTATTGTCGAGCGCGCGCTTGCCAGCGCACGTGCAAGTGCGCGAGTGAGCGGCGACAGAGCGCGCGCGCGCGCGTGTCCTGTGTTTGCGTTCAGTTTTGGTCGAAGCGTCTGGAAGCCGTGTGGATGGACTGACGGACGGATGGCCGGTTGGATGAATGGATGAATGGACCAGCAGGGCAGTCCTTGTTTGTCGGCGTGAGAGTGCGTGCGTCTCGACTCTCGTCTAGCGCTCGCACGCACGCACGCACGCGCGCGCGTGTGTGTGGATGGATTGCACAACCAGCGGGTGCGTTGTAGTCTAAAGCACGCGCACACCGCGGGGCTGCTTGGACGTGTCTGTGATACGGCTGCTCTACAGTCTCTGGGTAGTTACGCCAATGCTCTATTCCCCCGCGTGTCACGAGATGTAGGATGTATACATAGGGCGCATACGCAGTTTTATCTCGTATCTGTGCGGCTGTGATTGAATACAGCCGCTGGATATATATATTCCGGGTGGATACACTTGCACTTAAACGACGCACTGGTGACTCAATGCCATGCACATATCCACTACGCCACTGTCTCGTTAGATGTCTCTTATTACCCACTCGAGCACGGCTGGCTACGTACGGTGCGAAAGAAGTTCAGCATCCGTACATCGTGTGTTTGGATGGATGCGCGTGTACGCGTGGCTAGACGCATAAACGTAGACCGTATATGGACCCTTAGTGAATGCACGCACGGATACAGCGTGCACACACCTATAACACGCACCCACACTACTCGAGTGCTTGGGCAGGTAAGCGAGGCTATACGTACCTGTAGCCACGCAACTGCAGGCAGCGCGTGGTCGTTTTTAACGGTGAAAGGCGCCGACACACAAATCGTTCGGGATAGATGGACGCGCACGCTCGGTTGCTCGACTATCTATATAATCAATGGCAAATCCCGACGACTCATCATTCTCTATCGCCGCTGGCTTTAGGCCGAGAGGCGATGCTGGCTGGCGCGTGAGCCTTCTCCTCCTCCGCCCTCCCTTCCCTTTGAAAGGGGTGAAGCCAAAGGATGACCATCAGCAAACTGAAATCGGCATCGAGAACGTCGCGCCGTTTGCACGGACGAGCCGAGGACTCCACCCTCTTGCCCAGCAGGCGACCGGTGGCCGTGGGATCTAAGACCATAGATGAGATGGGACGTGACCCAAATCCCCTCCCTCGGCTCCTCCCCAACCCCCTCTCTCCTGGCTCGCTCCCAACTCGACGCACGGATTCCACAGGCCGAGAGCTGCGCGCTCTGACTGTATTATTGTAAACCCCACGTGCATCGGCAATTCACTGGAACGCGGCGTTCTTGCTACGTGATGTGGGGCGATTGATGATGATGACTGATGATAATTGACGATGGTTGTGGCTATAAGGAGATGACTCCTGTTACTCACAGACGGCACCTCCAATTAGCACGGTCTGGCTACGTGCCGTGCGAAATAACTTCCAATGTGCGTACCTTATCACTGATTGATGAACGAAGCGATGATCATGATGTTCATGCGATTCGACGACGGTGATTGCGGCTCGCAGTGAGAAGAGATCGCGGAGGACTGTGCAGTCGCTTGCCTCGTCGGCACGCACCTGAGTTCTGCAAATCCAAGTTGCGCTACAGGACCGCAGCGGTACATTGGGGCGCAAAGAAGAATGAGGAGAGGAGAACGCAACACCGGTGGTTGGGCCACGTGGCACGGCGAGTGTTTCGTCAGCGAAGGCGTGGCCCCCCTATGCCTCGGGGAGAGGGGGCACGGGCAGCCTTAGGTGGTAACAGCTGAGAATGTGCACAGGTGGCAGATGGCTCTTCGGTAGACGCTGGCAGGTCAGGTTGTAGGTGGCAGGCAGTGGAGGCGGCACGTGGCACAAGGTGCGAATTTGCACAGGTGAGGGGCTGCTCAGGTGACAGTTCAGATGGGAGGGGGGGGATTAGATGATAGGTGGTACAGGTGACATAATGCGACAACAGGTGGTAGGTTGCGGGACCTGTTGATGCGCTATGAGATGCGGGTGATGGCGCGTCCTTCCAGCGAATGATTGTTATTCTAGATATGAAATATATTGGTATTGTGGTCGTCCATAAGGGGAACTCAGCCCTGAACCCAGACGCAAAAACACCCACTTACAAATTGACCGAACATCCTATTACAGCACGGCCCCTTTAAAGGAGATTCTTGAGACTCGACCAACGATGATTTCTGTGAAGAACGATTATTCGCTGAAACAATTGTTCATGTTAACATACTGATCATTTAAATTTAAATTGCATCGTGTGGCGTGCGTGGGCCTTCATCCAGCAGCGGATTGACAACGCCCTACAGATGATGATGATGATGAATCCTGTACTATTATTACTACTACCCTAGGCACAGTATGTATTCTAACCCCTATTGCAACGTAAAAAAATCGTGTGGTTCAGTCCTGGATTTCGTATGTAAACAAACGATTAACTCGGTATTACAGTATTACGAGTCAATATTATTGTTGTAGACACAGCGATTCGCCTAATGGAGGCTATCAACATTATACGTCCTACATTCACTACGAATGTTTACTGTTAGTTCCCAATGATGATCAAGACGACGAAGACGGTGGTGATGGTGATGATGATGGTGATCGCGATGAAGTGCGGATGACCACAGGGGAAAGTCACTCACTCAATTGTCTTGAGCCGCCCGTTGTTTCCGCTGACCTCTTTCAACACCGTGTGCCCGACAGACCAACAGTCCGTGATGATGTCAGCGATTTCATTTCATTCATTCAATTCCTTCCGTCCGTCGGAATCTTCTCATCCCGTTTTCCTGGAATGGCACCTTGAAGACCAAAGCAGCCGTCGTTGTTTGAACCTTTGATTCGGCTCATCAATGTCCTTTGAAACGCCCTCCCGAATTATTGGTGTCGTCCTTGATGTTGGTGGCGCTGGTTACGACGTCGGAGATTTGTGTTATCTTAAGTGAATCGAGTTAAAAGTCCACGTGTCTCTCTCACAGGCACGCCAGTCTCTTTGGTGAGTCGCTCGCGGACTAACTCACCCACTGAGAGGGAGAGAGAGAGAGAGTAGATAGGGGGAGGCCTTTAGTTTGAGAAGTCCGTGTGATCCCAGCCGATTACAACAATCACCGCCGGGTCTCAGCTCGCCAATTGCCTCCGCGATTTCTGGAGGGCTCAACACCATCAACACGCGGCCGCTTCTAAGCACGCTGCTGCTACTGCTGCTACTTATATTCTTAGGTTTTTTTCGGTAAAGTCAAGTAGGTAATTTTTTAAAATTAATAAAAGTAAAATAAAAAATAAAATATAAATCACAACGTTTCGGAGGCAACACAAGCTTCCGTCTTCAGGCGGAACAGTCACAGCGCTGCTACTTATGTCCACTATCCGTGCCACAACCGCTACTGGTACTTATGCTGCTACTTTGGCTGCTGCTAACTAAAGTACCTCTGATATTGCTACAGCCACCACGGTCACTGCAACTACTCCTGGATAACTCCTCTTGTCACTACTGCTGACGCTACTTCTTCTTCTGTTGCTACTGGATGCTGTTGCTGGTGTTGCCACCACTACCACTAACGTTGCTGCTGCTCCTTGATACTTCTGCTACTGTTGATACTTCTACTACTACTGCTGCCACACGTGTATGTACTGTACGTTGAACTTCTTTGGCGCCGTACGTAGCCAACCGTGTTCATCGGAGTCGCACAAGAGACTGCGTCGCTCGCTACGCGTGCTACTTAGGCAGTACTCACTCGACTGATACCACTACCACTGCTGCTGCTGCTGCCACAAGGCAACGTCGCTTCAATTCTTCGCCGGCAACAGACGCGGCAGACAGCGGAGCGAGCGCTCGCGATGGAGTGGAGCAAGCCCAGCTCCGTGCTGCTCCACTCACTCTTCTCTCACTCTTCTCTCTCAATCTTCACTCACTCTTCTCTCACTCTTCACTCACTCTTCACTCACTCTTCTCTCTCTCTTCACTCACTCTTCTCTCTCTCTCTTCACTCATTCTTCTCTCAATCTTCACTCACTCTCCTCTCTTATCTCAATCTTCACTCACTCTTCTCTTATTCTTCACTCACTCTTCACTCAATCTTCTCTCAATCTTCACTCACTCTTCACTCTTGTCTTACTCTTCACTCATTCTTCTCTCACTCTACTCTCTCTCTCTCTTCTCAATCTTCACTCAATCTTCTATCTTACTCTTCACTCACTCTCCTCTCACTCCACCGCCGCGTGCCAAGCTGCCCGTGCCACAGAAATCGTAAGCAGCAACGCCGCTTCATCCAATCGCCGACAGCTCGCTCGCTCGCTCTCCCTCCCTCTCCCTCTCGCAGCTTCTCTTTCTTTATTTCTGGCGGCTTCCAGGGAGGGGCAGCTTTCACATCCGACCGAATACGACGACGGTGATGTTATGATAGAGGAATCCCCAATAACACCACCGTCATCATCACCAGCAGCATCTTCATCATCATCAGCAGCAGCAGCGAGCAAATAACCCCGGAGTGTAAAGCAGCCACGACGCTCGGTGCTGATTAAATGACCCGCTGCTCTCCTCCGTGCCGTGTGCGCCCCCCCCTCTCCTCGCCGCGTGTGACTTCCTATCCGTGAGCGGAGTCCTCCCAAAGTGTGGTTGGTGGTTGTGGTGGTCGTTGTTGTTGTTGTACCACCCCACGCCCCGTGTGGCCGAGTGCCGTGGTTCAAAGCCGCGCGAGTGTCTTCTCGACCACTGCACCCACCCCACCGTCTGCCTCTCTCCCTCCTCTCGCTCTCTCCGAAGGCGCCCGGAGCGCCGTGGCGCTGCGCGCACGCCGCTTGGCACCGCACGCGAGACCCGGCACCTCCTCCCTCTCCTCCTTCTCCTGCTGCATCTGATGCTGATCCAGAGCGCACCTCACCCCGGCACCCGGTCTCGTCTGCTCGGGGCGTGGCTGAGTGTGGCGTGGAGTGCGTGTTGTGATCAGTGTTCGTGTTCGTGTGTTGTGGTCAGGGTTGTGTGTGTGTTGTGTGTGTTGTGTGTGTGTGTTGTGTGTGTGTTGTGATCAGCGTTGTGTTCGTGTGTTGTGGTCAGGGTTGTGTGTGTTCGTGTGTTGTGGTCAGGGGTGTGTTTCTTGTGTGTGTTGTGGTCAGGGTTGTGTGTGTGTTGTTATCAGCGTTGTGTGTGTGTGTTGTGGTCAGAGTTGTGTCCGTGTGTTGTGTTGTGGTGAGCGTTGTGTGTTGTGTTGTGGTCAGGGTTGTGTGTGTTGTGGTCAGGGTTGTGTGCGTGTGTTGTGGTCAGGGTTGTGTGTTGTGGTCAGCGTTGTGTGTGTGTGTTGTGGTCAGAGTTGTGTTCGTCTGTTGTGTTGTGGTGAGCGTTGTGTGTGTTGTGGTCAGGGTTGTGTGTTGTGGTCAGGGTTGTGTGTGTGTTTGTTGTGGTCAGGGTTGTGTGTGTGTGTTGTGGTCAGGGTTGTGTGTGTGCGTCTGTTGTGGTCAGCGTTGCGTCTGTGTGTGTTGCGGTGTGGGGAGCGGTGGTGTAGCGGTTAGCGCTGCGCCGCGCTACGAACCTGGTGACCCGAATTCGATTCCCGCTCGCGGCCAACACCGGTGACGATTATCTGAACCGGTCCTGGGCCTCCCCTAGGTTGATTCAGCCTCAAATGAGTGCCTGGTGCGGTCCGTAAAAACAACGCCACTGGGGAGACAAAGGCGGTCGGGCGTGGTGCTGACAACCCACCCCCTTCATAGGTGCTCACTAACAACACTTGCCCCAACAGTCTGTTAAGACTATACGGGGGATCTTTGTCTTGTGGTGAAGGTTTGTGTGTGTGTTGTGGCCAGGTGTGTATGTGTGGATTTTGTGTTGTTGTGATGATGTGGTGTTGTTGTGGTGTTATCTGGTGCTGTGGTGTATGTGATGTTGTGGTGTAATGTGATGTTATTGTGGTATTGCTGCTCGTCTTTGATTAGGCTGTGTAACAATTGTTTTTGTTCCTGGGTAGTAAGTGTTATTTCCTAATTGCTTATGCCTCAAAAGTATATAAAATGGCAATGATTCCCCACAAACTTCGCTTTTGTGACCAGGACGTTGATATTTTGAAATTTACTTATTTTCCAGAACATTCCAGATAGATTCAGTGCTGAGTAAACTTCCCCGGGTTCACTCGGTGCACCTCAAAGAGGATTACAACAGCATCAAGACCTTGCTGGACGCCTTGAAGGATGATGAGTACGGCTGGGAGGTTATCGGAGACTTCAAAATGGTGGAATTCCTGATGGGTCTCCAAGGCGCTTTTACCAAGTTTCCCTGCTATCTTTGCCTTTGGGAGAGCAGGGACACCAAGGCGCACTACCACAGGCGGGACTGGCCAAAGCGGACCGAGTTCTCTGTGGGGAGGAACAACGTCAAGTGGGAGCCACTGGTGGACCCCCGGAAGGTGCTGATGCCACCACTGCACATCAAATTGGGCCTTATGAAACAATGTCAGAGCTGTAGATAGATAATGAGTCGGCAGCCTTCAAGTACCTTCAAGACTTCTCCCCTAAGCTGTCTGAGGCAAAGGTCAAAGCCGGTGTCTTCGTCGGACCACAGAAGAAGATCCTGGAGTGCACTGAATTTCTAAGAAGCTCACTAATAAGGAGAAAGCGGCTTGGAACAGTTTTGTCGCAGTGGTTTGTGGCTTCCTGGGCAATCACAAGGTCGAAAACTATGCGGAGCTGGTTGAGACTCTGGTGAAGAACTACGGCACAATGGGCTGTAGGATGTCCCTCAAAGTCCATATCCTTGATGCTCATCTTGATAAATTCAAGGAGAATATGGGAGCGTACTCGGAGGAGCAAGGCGAGCGCTTCCACCAGGATATACTGGACTTTGAACGCCGCTACCAAGGACAGTATAACGAGAACATGATGGGATACTACATTTGGGGGCTGATTCGTGAATGTGATTTACAGCATAATCGTAAATCTCGAAAAACTACTTGCTTTTAAATCTTTTGTAGTCATTTTTGTATTACTTTAGTATAAATACATGTGAATTTTGATTCTCATTGAAAATAGGTGAAATTCAAAATATCACTGTCCTGGTCACAAAAGCGAAGTTTCTGGGGAATTATAGCCATTTTCTATACTTTTTAGGCATAAGCAATTAGGAAATTAACACTTACTACCCAGGAACAAAAATCGTGTTACACAGTGTTATGATAACCCAGTAGTACTCTTTGTTGGGATGGTTAGCAGAATGAACGTGCGATCCAGAGGTTCCCTGGTTCGGTTCGATCTCCAGGCGCGGCAGTTGAAGGGATGGGCGAGTGTCTGAAAAATCCACCTCGCTTCTATTCGCCCAAGCAGTATAAATGGTGGTGGGGTAAATCATGGGTAGCGCCGCCACCTCTTTCAACACGTCCCGCTCAGCGCGGAAGAGGAGACCGAATACTATCGGGAGCTTATCATCACCGTGGTCAATCCACTGCTGGACGAAGGCCTCTCCAAGCCGCCGCCGCCGCCACCTCTCGCACTCCTTAGACGTAGCGATGATCTTAACCAAGCGCACGAAATCATTCCATGACGCTTGTGGTGGACGCCTGCAAATATCCACGCGGGGGCTACGTTGGCAGAGGTGGTTCGTTCAATGAGTTCGTTCACCTGAGTTAGATGCCCGGCCACGGCTCACACAAATGGCAAGTTGTATCAGTTTTTTTCCCCTTGTTCTTCCCGGGTCTCCTCTAGGTCGACTCAGCCTTAACAACCACCCGGGCGTGGTTGTGGCGACTCCACCTCATCGTCGTACCCCGTGGCGACCTCAATAGGCGCTCGCTAACATCACTCGCCGCTCCAGTCTATGGAGGATATATACAGGGAGGGAGGGGGGAGTGTCATTTGCCGCAAGACACGCACACACCAGAGGTCGCAACCGGGTACCCGATACCCGTACCCTACCCGATACCCGGCTACCCGTACCCGGCCGGGTACCTGTTTGCGACCCTGGTGCGGCCGGGTACGGGTACGGGTAGGCCGTGAGTCACTGGTGAGTAACCGTTTGTCACTCATTTCCCAACGTCTTGTCTCTTCTGACAATTCAAGTTCCTAGAATCAACCCACCCGCGCCTGCAACATGGCTTCATCCCAGAGGTCGCAATCGGGTACCCGTACCCTACACGATACCCGGCCGGGTACGGGTAGCCGGGTATCGGGTAGGGTACGGGTACCCGTTTGCGACCCTGGTGCGGCCGGGTACGGGTAAGGAATCAAAACCCGTTTGCGACCTCTGGCACACACTCATCTGTTTATGCCATCTGAACGCTATCAACTCAGTACGGCACTGAAATCATTGGCTCCTGGCGCCACCTCGTGGGGATTCGCAGTGAGCGTCGGATTTCGGCTCTCCGGAGTCGTTCGTGTGTTGGGACGAAGAGGACGTTTTCATGCGCAGGGCAGCAAAGGAGCAGCCCTGCAATTGCCGTCTCGTGCCACTGCTGGCAGAAGGGCCACCACCTCTAGCAGGTTATTAATTAGTTTTTGAAAAGTAATTTCTTTAAAGTAGATTTTTTGTGTCTAGTTTGTTGTCCTTCCCCCGCACCTCCGACTTGAACGGTTGGCTACGGTACGGCGTGAAAGAAATTCAACACACATACATAGCCTACTCTCTCACACTGGCCAGTCAGCAGTCAGCCCCAAATCATCACTCCTTCGCGGGGCCGTATCTCAACCGTGGCTCGTGTCTTTTTATTGGCTCCCAGTTCAAACCCCACATTGACTTTCAAATGTTTCGACTTGGGTTGTGCGGCTTTAAATAAGGGCAATGCTCCACCATACATCCAGGAATTGATTCAGCCGCACACTCCTCCACTGGGATCTCTCAGATCCGCGTCTTCTTCATCCGTGCGGCTGATGTAGGTGCAGAGCAACGACTACAACTTCACATTCAAGGCGGTCAAGCCGGATAACCGCGTCAGGAGCAGGGGAGTGCATCGCTGCGTTGTCTCCGTCGTATTTGTGGATCGGGCGTTGCGTCGTTATACGTTGTGTAGTCTCTTCTGGATGACCACAGTCGCACACAATTCTGGCTCTCACCTGATGAGGCTGGTTGTAAACGTCGAAATCGAATTGTAAATGTTGTGGGTTTGCTCTCCAACACAAGCGGTGTGCTGAAGTAGTCACTAATTGGCACGTCTTGTGTACGCTACAAACCTTACTAATTCGCCTGTGTTGAGTTGTGGCGGGTTTAACCGCAGATTTTTATTTACGCGATCTAACCCAAAAAAAAACCTTATTATGGAAAATGTTGGTCGTGAGAGCGAGCCCACGTGTTCCATTTGTGCATCAGGTATCCGCAACTGCCATGCTTTGTGCGGTGGATGCGGTTCAGGGTGGACAACGTGTCCCATCGTGCCCCCACCCAGTTGCGACGGTGCTCCAAGCTGCCACCTTGGGATGACCACGCGGGCTTCTGTCCGCACGGCGCCCCAGGCACCTGGAATTCCCTGCCCCTTCGGAGGTCAGGAAGTCGCAGTCGACGGAGATTTCTAAGTCCCCTGCTGAAGACCACACCACCCATTGAACAAGGCCACTCCGACTGATGCTCCTGCTGTTGTGGAGTGACTCATGCAGCCAGCTATGGCTGCAGAGTTTAGTAGTACATGTTGTTTACGTCGTTTATTGTGAAAATTCGGTCACAGATCCTATGATCACTGTTTCATTGCTTTTATGGCTTTATTTTGGTGATTTTCGAAAAGTTTTTCGGTTTGGCCATGTTTGTTTGTTGTAGTACAGAGTTAGACAGATGGCCTTAATCTAAGTTGTCTTGTGGTTGTTGTTGTTTGACTTGCATCCCACTGAGATTTGTGCACACAGTGTTGGTGTACGGTGCTTTTTCTGCAATA